AATCCCAGATAACAGATATTTTACAAGAATATCATAACTCTAAAAGGTCCGGCCATTATGGTGGGGATCGAACATATAAACGAATCGCAAGTAGATATTACTGGTCAGGGATGCGAGCTACCATAAATCACGTTTCTCAATCCATAGAATGACAACGTTTTAAGCCGAGTAATGTAAAACCAGCAGGTTTAATCCAAACTCCTATCATGGCTGTGCGGTTTGAAGTTATAAGCATTGACTTATTTGGCCCTTTGCCAAAAACTCCTGCAGATAATCATTGGGTCTTTGTGATAGAAGATACCTGTACACGTTGAAATGAACTCTTCCTCTTACAGCAAGCAACTGCTGAAAACTGTGCCCGTACCCTTATAGATAAAGTGATATTGCGATATGGTGTGCCCAGAAGAGTAATCGATAATGATAACAGATTTGTTAGTAGCGTGATGAAACAAATTGCCCACTGTCTCGGGTTTACCCAATCACTTATTCCTGTTTATCATCCTGCTAGCGACCCAGTTGAACGTAAAAATAGGGACACAAAATTCCAATTGGCAATTCTGTCGACCGCCGACCATACATCATGGGAAGACCAACTATCATCTATCAAATTTGCCATAAACACCGCTCAGTGTTCCTCAACGGGCTATGTCCTGTCATATCTCATGTTTGGATGAGAATTACGAACTGCTGACGATGTCCAAAGAGATATTAGAGCAATTGTCGAAAGAGAAAATTTCGTTACACAACTCACACCGTATTTAAAATTGATGAGTAGGACATTACAGGAAGTGCGAGAAAACATGAAGCCTCGCAAGACATAGTCAAGAATGAAGCAGATAAACTACTATGAAGCGAAATTTAAAGAGGGACATAAGGTTCTAGTTGAGGTCCATGCTTTAAGCAATAGTAAGAATCAATTTACCAGTAAACTAGGCACCTAGGTGCGATGGACCTTACGTAATACTAAAGGAGCTAACCCCCACATCGTATGAAGTAGCCTTACCACAAAACCCTACAGAGAGCATGGGCAAATACCATAGAAGATGAGGATTTTGAATAAACTTGTGATACTCGGCACACTGATGATGAGGATGCCGAAGAGTTGATTTCCCAAACGACAAGGACTTTCAGCAAGAGAGCAGTCCATAATCCTAAGAGGTGCTTATGCTGTGAATGACAATAAGTATCTCTTGCTTCATCTCCCGGGACGTATCGAGAAGCAAAAGGGGAGGTTGTAGCGTACTACTAAGTATGCAACCAACTATACATCATAGCAGGGGTCTTGGACTAGCGGGAAGAGGTCGGACAGTTAACCTAAAAAAAAACGACACGCGAGGAGTTCGCTCGGTGCATGATTCTAACAGTTTGTTTTTTTTTATCAATACGTTTACTTTAAATATAATTGTTATGTTTGGTGTTTTGTATTAAATATCTTTCCTATTTCAAGGCGTTGATTTTATTGTGAGAGTGAAAGAACCCCAGGTTTTTAATAAACCTACAAGAAAACCATAATGACGATAAAGAGAGATATCAGGAAGGATCTCGCAATGAGAAAAAAAAGTAAGTGATGAGAACAAGGAGAAAGATTTTGAATTTATCGAAGAAGAAATGGTT